GTCGAGGAGATAGAGCAGGCACCTCAGCCACAGCTACGCCGCTCTGGCCATACCCGTGCTCCAGTCACACCGAGGCCAGAGACACAGCGGAGGGGTTCTCGTCCACCACCTAGATCACAGGGTCCGCCTCCAGTGACTCATCTAGATCTGAGGGCCGCCACGGCCAAGCAGGTTCAGCAGCTCAGATTTGTGGAGTTTGAGCAGTGGTTCCCACACAGGAGGGATGACAGAGCATCAGAGGGCTTCTACACACCACTGCAGGAGGATTTCTATAATGCATATCTTAACAGTGGAGCTGTATTCAAATCTCAGAGGGTGTGCAACATTGAGTCCATTATAGCAGCAGCCGGAGAGCATATTCGCCCTTACCTATCTTATTTGCCAGGGCTGACAGATTTACTCAGACGGACTAGCCTATATGTTCCATCTTGGGTCCATGAGTTCTATGCTACACTTTGGATTGACCCGCACCATAGATTTATACACTTTGTATTTAGAGGCAGAGATTACAGGCTGATGAGTACTAGGGTCAGGGAGATTCTTAGGCTTCAGGAGCAGCCCATCCGGCTACATGAGGTTTGCTATGGACAGACAGCGCCTCCCAGACGCCCTCATGGCGGTATGGTGCCTCCTACAGATTTGGTTCGCCATTGCTTCACAGAGCCTTTTGGCTAGGGGTCGAGCAAGAACCCCAGTGACCTCACTCCTACTGCTAGAGTGCTTGAGGCTATCATGAGGACACTACTTCTGAGGATGGGGTATCGCGAGGGCTTGACTCGCATACAGTTATGGCTTCTCAACTCTCTGATGCAGCAGACAGTATTTGATATTTGGGATCTCCTTCTATCAGAGATGGAGGATACTATTGCTGAGGGGTTCAGAGGTCACCGACAGTTGCCCTATGCCCACTGGATCACTTTTCTTATTCACAGGACAGTTACTGTGAGGCCACCAGAGATGCTAGCTGAGTACAGTGGTGCTATGACAGAGTTTCCTACATACAACATGACTCAGATGCTCCGCCACAGTGCAGTGAAGCCACCTAGCCAGCCGCGCCATCGTCCAGATGTGCCAGAGACTGCAGCCCAGCAGGATGAGACTATCAGGGGCATTGCAGCTATAGAGGAGGAGCAGTTAGAGGCTCAGCAGGAGAGGATGGTCGAGAGCAACCCCAGTGATAGTTCTGATGACGACTATCAGGCTATCCCTCAGATGCCTCCTCACCATCAGGATCATGAGGCTGGTAGCTCCAGTAAAGCTCCACCTGCCCCACAAACAGACCCTGCTCTACTTACCATACTTGAGCGGATGAGGTAGGATCAGGCTCGACAGGCTCAGGAGACAGCTGCTACTTTTACACAGTTTCAGACTCGGCAGGACGAGTTCCAGCGACAGCAGCAGGCGATACAGCAGCAACAGGCTATACAGTAGCAGCAGCAGGCCATGCATCAGCAGCAGCTCCTCATGCAGCAGCAGCTACTTGGGTTTATGCAGCATATTGTGACAACTATTGGGGCTCCACCGCCATAGCCTTCGCCCCAGATAGGCCAGCCTGTCACCACTTCTATGACTCCAGCATTACAGCCTAGTGGGCTTCAGAGTCAGGGATAGCCACCAGCACAGTTTCCTTCTCCTACAGAGCAGGTGTCCTAGTGGTTTGCCTCGCCAGTGCTAGCCCCGCAATTCACACCACTTCAGATGGGCTTTACACCATCACAGGCCTCGCTGCTAGCGCCAGATACTTCAGTCTCTAGGAGTCTTGGAGCGACCTTCAGTGAGTTGACAGGGCAGCCTACTCCGCCATATTTGCATGTCCCTAGTCCATCTACAGTTGTGCCTATCACTGCAACTACAGAGACGCTCCCTTTCTCAGTGGCATCATTAGAGCCGGCTGCTACAGTCATACCTACAGAGTCACAGGCAGCTCCAATCCCTGCTCCGACCCATACCGCTTCAACGTCACTACCAGCTATAGAGGGTCAGACAGCACAGAGCTCAGGGTCAGATGATGATGGCACCCAGTTCCAGCTCGCTCCTCGTACCTCAGCGCACGACTCGGCCACTGTAGCCCCACCGACTGACCCTTAGGTTTTGGTGTTTGATGCCAAAGGGGGAGAGGGTTCGAGTATGTTAGTGTTAGGGGAGCGACATACTTAGGGGGAGTTTACTTATTAGCTTATCTATTACATTTGGTGTTTTATGTGTGATATACTATTATGCATTCATGTGTTTACTTTTATGCATCAAACTATATTTATGTGATAGTGATATCTACGTGATCGTGATATGTGACATGTGTGCTCTCTACTTTGAATTATTTATATGTCATATCACTTGTGTTATGCTCATTTGCTTTTCTTCCACACTTTACTCCAATGCAAATGAGCTTTATTACTTGTACTCATGCTTATTTCATATCTTTGGAGTACATTATGTTGGCTTGGGTTATATAAGTTTGCCTAACTCTTTTGTTCTTATTGTCAAAAGCTTATATGAACCAAGCATGTTAAAAACCTCAACTCTTTCACATACTCGAGGTGGTATTGTCATCAATCACCAAAAAGGGGAGATTGAAAGCATCTAGGCCCCTAGTTGGGTTTCGGTGATTAATGACAATACAAGATTACTGTGACTAACGTGTGTTTTGCAGAGGCAATTAAGTTAGGTCACGGTAATGGCAATTGATTGGGCAATTATGGTTGTCATGCTCCTACGATGGAAATCATTTTAGTTTTCAAAGGATGGATGATAAGGTTAAGGATGGACTAGTTCTAAGTGTCGTTTGGAGTTGAAGAGACACTTAGATTAGTTTAGGACTTTGTTTTTCCGTTGGCCATACTATTAAGGGGGGTATGGATGGGTAGCTTGACCTAGGTGAGTCTAGTGAGTTAGGTGTGGTGCACACTTCTTAAATCTAGCACTAGGTAGCTCCTAAAAAGCCCTTAGATCAATTGGAGCAAACTTCATTCACATATGATCGCGAGTTGGAAGTGAATGGAGGGTCAAATGCTGACCGGACACTAGCTCCGGTGTGACCGGACGCTAGCTCCGGTGTGATCGGATGCTGGCATAGAGTCTGGTTAGTTCATTCGATCAAGGTGCAGTCGTCTGGAAGTGACCGGACGTTGAGAGGTGAGTGACTGGATGCTGAGTCCCAGCGTCCGGTCGACTCCAGTAAGGTCCCAGAGAGGGAGAATCCTGATCGGACGCGTCCGGTCGACATCAGTAAGGTTCCAGAGAAGGAAAATTGTGACCGGACGCGTCCGGTCAGTGCTCGTCCGGTCAGTGCTGACCGGATGTTGTCCAGCGTCCGGTCACAACTTAAACACTGGAAGTCGGGGTGAACTGACCAAAGCGTCCAGTCAACATGACCGGAGCGTCCGATCACCCTGCAGAGGCATATAACGGTTCATTTCTCAACCCAGGTTATAAATACTTCCTCCATTCGTGTGAGGGGGTACTTTTGCACATTCCAACAGCTGAGAAACACCTTTGAAAGTGCCAAGAAAAGCAAGGTCCTAGTGAGGTGATTGAGGTTTGAGAATTCAGGAGTGAGACCTCAATAGTGAAAGCAAGAGTAGCAAAGTGTGCATCCACCCTTCTCATTAGGCTTGTCGTGGTCAAATGACAGTTCGTGCTTGTTACTCTTGGTTATCGCCATCACTTAGATGGCTTGGTGGTGATTGAGAGCTTGGTGATCATCCGGCGGAGCTTGTGGATGACCCAACTGAAGTTGTGAGCGGTTGTGGGTGATTCACCGCGACGGAGTGTCAAAGAATCAACCCGTAGAGAGCACTTGATCCTTGCGCGGATCAAGGGGGTGCTACACCCTTGCGCGTGTGCTCCAACGAGGACTAGTGGGGAGTGGCGACTCTCTGATACCTCGGCAAAATATCGCCACGTTCCTCCTTCTCTCTTTACTTTGAGCATTTACTTTGAGCAATTCAATACTTGTCTTTACATTTATAGAAATGCCATGCTAGAGTAGGATTGGAACTTAGGTTGCAAGACTTTTTGTGCGGTAGAACATTAGAAACACTTTCTAGGCACAAGGGGTTAATTGGGCTAACCGTAGAGTTTAATTATTGTAAAAAAATTTAGAATTAGCCCAATTCACCCTCTCTTGGGCATCTTGATCGTTTCAATCACCTTTTGGAAGATAGGAGGCAAATTGGCAAAATAAGCCAATAACTCGTATAGAGGAGCTGGAAAAAAAATAATGACTTCAGAACTGCTGCTGACAACAACTTAAGGGCCTATTTTGTTCAACCTGCTAAACTTTAGTCAGTTTAGGTACTAAATTGCCAAACAAATGGACTAAAAAGGGACTAAAGTAGTTTAGTCACATTAGTACACCAAGGAGATGCTAAAAGGGACTAAAATGCACAGTAGACAAGGGTTGCCCCTCATTATTGCCAGTCCTCCACCCTGATTCGTGAATTCATTAGGGATAGTTTGATCTTTATTGAACTGTTTTAATGGACTTTAGTCACTAGAACCAAACAAGGATGACTTTAGTCAAGAAAAACCAAATGGGGCCTAAATAAAGATGTGTTATTTTTTAAAAAACTAAATAAAGATGTGTTATGGAACTATGGAAGTAGGCTGTGCACTGCACAAAGGAGTAATGCTTTACCGTATAAATGAACTATTAAAATTTTTTAAATTCCACTACAGGGGTGGTAGTTTCAGGAGTCATCACTGAAGTAAAGTAAAGGAAAGAGAAAAATACTACTCACTCTATTTTAAATTATAAGTTACTTTGATTTTTTTTATTCATTCATTTGCTAGGTATCTAGACATATTATTATTTCTTGATGCATAGTAAATTAGATGTACCAAAAAAGTTAAAGCGACTTATAATTTGAAACGGAAGGAGCAGTACTAGTATAGTCGCTGTGCTTCCCGGAATTCGTTTCAAATCAAATCAAATTGAACTTCCTTCAAATCCTACATCTACCCAGGACCAGGAGAAAAAGGACCAGGACTCCAGGAGTAACATGAGGTGGACCCCACCGAAACATGTCCTCTTCAAGTCGCCGCGTGCGGTGCTTCCACTCCACCCAAACCCCTCGAGCGAGGTGGCACAGGCCGAATGGACGGCAGTTCTTCACTTCTCCGCCCGTTTGGTGAGTTCGCGAGCGATTCTTTGTCATGCAGCCACTTACTACCACCACCACCACTACTACTACTACTACTACTCATGTACTCCGCCGCCCCACGCCTCGACGCCCCCACCACCACCACCTCCATCCCCGAGCAACCGAGCTGCCCTGCCGCTTCGGCCGCTGGAGCTGCCGCTACCATCGGCGCTAGTGCCTCCGAAGAAGCGCTGGGTCCTGTAGACTCCGCCCAAGGCCACCATCCCTTTCCCTCCTTCCCCACCCGTCCCCGTCCCCGTAGCGGTCGCGGTCCCAGCCCCCACCCAACCGCTCCAGGCGGACGACGCAGAGTTGCCTCTGTTTTCGGCCCAAAAACCCTAGCCGCCGCCACCCGCGGAAAAACCCTCTTCGCCGCCAACGCCGCCACTCGCGGGAAAACCCTCCTCGCAGCCGCCACCACCTCCACCTGCGGAAAAAACCCTCCTCGCTGCCGCCGCCGCCTCCTTCCGCTGCGGACGAGAAACCCTCCACACCGCCTCCGACCGACGCGGCCACGGAACTGGCTGCTGCAACAAAGCCGCGGAAGATCACACGAAAGGTACGGACGATCAAAAGAAGGGTCCCCAAAGGCACGATCGCAGCCCGGAAGGCTTCGGCGGAGGCGGCTTTGGCTGCCGCTGGAGCGTTACAGCCTGGGAAGGGACACGCTCCGGACAATTCCTCTCGAAATGCTGCCACGGTGGATGAAGTGGTGCAGAAGGAGCAGAGTTTTGGGGGAAACACAATTGAAAAACCGGCCACTGCTGTGTGTGAAACACTACTGGGTAAGGGGGCGGCTGTGTGTGAAACACTATTGGGTAAGGGGACGGTGCGGGGAGGAACACTAGCCAGTGGGCCGGCAACGGATATTGGTGGTGAGCATGAGGTGAAGAAATTGGGGAGCAGGGGTGAGGATAGGGCTGAGGTGGTAATGTCGGAGCGGCAGAGGAGGAGGATGACGGAGGTGTTTGTCGGTGGGCTCAGTAGGGACACAAAGGAGGAGGACGTGAGGGCAGCGCTTTCAGTGGCGGGGGATATCACGGAAGTTCGCATGATCTTGGATGCAACGACGAAGAAGAACAAAGGCTACTGCTTTGTGCGCTACTGTGAGTCTGCGCAGGCAAGGAAGGCCATTGCAAAGTTCAGCAACGTTAAGGTTGTGCTTGACCCACATGGCTAAATTCATTAATTTTTGTTTAACAATCAAAAGGGGACAAGATGCCCACCTGAACATTTCGTTTGAAATACCACTGCATGACACACTTGCGGGGTTTTGGGCAAGCTCCACGGTGCTAGTTATAAGTGCATAACATTAATGAATTCATCACTGCACTTGCCATGGATGATACTTGTTAGTTACATAATCTTGTGGCCACATTAGGTGCTTGGTTCATTCTGTATTTGTTTTACAAATCTAACCTTCCTTGGGATAGCACCATTGATCTGGTAAAGGTTAATCATGTCTAACATACCTTGCATTATCTTATTGTACACTATGTGTTAAGATGTACACAAATGTCTGCTTTCTGTAGCAAATGCAATGCAAAAGAGGTAGAGATTAATGGGGAGTTTTACTCTGTGTGTGCCATACATTTTTTGCTTTGTTAGAATCTATGCATTAGCATATTTTGTGACTGTTGCTTGTATGAAAAGCCATTGGGACTTCATGATACCACAGTTGTGTCTGCTAGCCAAATTGAAAGTGACTTATGTTTGATTGTCTCCATGTTTCCCTTTCTCTTGTCTTTCTCCATATTGATTGTTACCTTGTTCTCTGAAACCCAATTACTAGATTTGTGGAAAGCACTGTCGAGTAGCAGCTCTGGGTGGGAATGATAAAATCTTTCTTGGGAACCTTGATAAGAAATGGAAGAAAGACGATGTGAGCATAACTGCACTTGTAGCTACTATTTCTTTCTTGTGAACAGCTTGATTCGATATTCTCTCCTAAATAATTGGCTGCTTGCTTACATGTTTTTCTTTGAAGCAGATCATGAAACTACTACAGAAAATTGGAGTTGAGAACATTGATGTCGTTACCCTTCCGGCTGACTCTAACAATCCAGGCTATAATCGTGGATTTGCATTTCTTGAACTGGAGACTTATAAAGATGCACAGATTGCATACAAAAAGCTTTCAAGGAAAGATGTTTTTGGCAAGGGTTTACATATAAGAGTTGCATGGGCCGAACCATTGAATGGTCCAGATGAAAAACAGATCCACAAGGTCTCTCTCTCTCTCTCTCTCTCTCTCTCTCTCACACACACACACACACACACACACATGAGACATGACACACATGACGACACACACGCGCACACACATTCATGGACGCACATGCCACACGCACGCGCAGAACAACGCACATTCATGGACGCACACATACATAGGCTGTTTGTGATCTGTAACTTTTTTTGGTATCCATTTCCTGAAGACATTAACACATTTGTGGTGTATTGGGTCAAATAAGACGGGAAACTTTGTATACCAGCTACGATTCTGACTTTAGAAGTACATTAGGCTATGACATTTTGCACCTGTAACAATTTGATTTTGGAAGTACTTTAGACTGCTGTATGTGTGTATATCAATGGTTCAGTCCTTTTTTCACTGGCCCTGTCACAGTTGAACATCATAGTTGGCTGTGCTTTCAGTGGCTAGTCACAAATTCCCAAAGAGTTGTAAGTAACATTTAGGTGTAAGCAGTCTTTGTGGAAGGTGTATTGAATTCTTGGGATCAAGCTAAGATGACAGATATTTTCAAGAAATATGGAAACATCGAACTTGTAGCTCAATCATGTGATATGCATCCAGCTAAAAGGAATGACATTGCATTCATTAATTACACTACTCATGAGGCTGCTATCTTGTGTCTTGAATCATTTTGATGGGAAATAGTTGAAAGGTCCTTTGTAATACCTTAGTCTAAGTTGGAGGTTTTTTTTTAACATGATTCTCACATTTTTAGTGTTTCATGCCAGGTTAATATTAGAGTCACTCTTGCTCAATCTATCCAAAAGGGCAAGAAGATTATGGAAGATCATAAATTTTGTCTTAGTGAGAAAGATAAAACAAAGACTGTTCAAAGTGAGTTAATTCCTTTCGAATCCCCATCGTCCTCTTTCTAGTTCATTTCCGATTATGTGCCTAACTTATGGTTGCCAATCTCACTCCTCTGTTAACTACTGTTTCCCTGTGTACAAAATATTGTAAACATAGTATACCTTATGTATAAGTATATAACTGCTGTCTTCTTGCTGTTCTTGGTCACAATGTCTGGTATCGGGTTAGCTAGTTTCTGTAGTAATCCAATGATCTGAATTTGCAGGTGTCATGCAGAGTTATATATCTACGTATATTGCCTGTTATCCTCTTTTTCATTTTTAGATAGATTGTAATGAGCTAAGGGTGGCAGTGGCACGCCTTAATAAGATAAATTCAGTCTATTTTTGAAAGATATTTTGCTCATGAACAGTTAAGTGTTTTTCTCAATTTCTCTCAACCATTTCATCGATTTCACTAGGTGAAAGAATACTTGGGCCGTCTTCACTGCATATATTGCATTCCAGTTCCAGGGCGATTCCACCCACAGGGGATAAGAAGTCATCAACAGATCATGGCTTGGTTCAGGTTGAGGGAGATGGTTCCCTGGAGACATGAACATACTGGTTCAGGTTAGTTTCATGTGGCCAGTTGAACACTGTAAAATTCTGCATCAGGTTAATTTGCAGTCTCGTATTAGTATTTTAATAAGACCAGTGACTTATTTTATCTCTACCTTGGAAAGCTTTCATCAAGGGATAAACATTGTTCACCCCCTAGATGAAACAAAACCTTCAACTAAGGATATATAAAGTTGATAACTATTCATTTAAATGGACTCAATAACTTGCATGTTACATTTATTTTTAAAAATGCACAAGGTGGTATTGTTGGATGCCTTTTTCTTATTTGTTATTTTTAATAATGTTACTCAACAAACTAACTGGTTTTCTGATGTCATATTAGGATTTATGTTTCATTTTTCTTTGACCAAGTTAATTTTCTGGTTTAATTTTGAAGCCCTGATCTGTTTGCTAATATGCAAATGATTGCAAATAGTAATATTGGAGGGTTCCATGTTTTAGCTAAAAACTAATCTTGGCTGCACCTCTTCTTTTGGCAATTGCTCTTGTATACAACTTTTGCTATGTACATCTATGACATACAAGATGCATGCAACATTGAACATATAGAGCTTTCTAGCATTCAGTAGATATTTGATGCTTTATGACCACTATTTTGAAGCTATCAACTTTAAAATACCAATTGCTGATGTTTTCATCCCTATAAGTAGCAGGAAGGCTTACTCAAAATTATCCCCACATATTGTCAGGAGAGAATCGGCCTTTCTTATACCATATAGGCATGAAACATTTACTCATTGATTTTGTCGTATTTGTTTTAATCTTGCTTACTACAGGGGATTGATTCTTATTACATGGGCCGCAACCCTCACGCAGGACATGAGAGGAATACCTATGCTACGTCAACTTCAAGGTTATCTCAATTTCTAAGCGATCACAACTCTTCATCGCATATCTTAGCATAGAGTAATAGTTTTCTTTCAATCTGTATCACATCTCAGCTACAGTGCATCCCCCCCTGCCATCACCGAGTATTCTCCTCCATATCATCATGAAAGCAGGAGATATCGACTAGGTATGTCCTTGCAGCCCATCTCACGTTAATCCGTCTCTCCGTCATCTGGTATAACATGTATGATGTGATATTTTTGCTTTCAGATTCAGATTCTGTACTATCAGAAGAACCATGGGGTGGGATTCAGGTATGCTGTTCCATCATGAATTCTTTGTGCTCACCCTTTTTTAAGCAAATGACACAGGGAAGCCCATTGGTAATACTTTTATTTTTGTGTGGAAAATGATACAACTAGTGTGTCCATCATTCCCCTGTGTTTATGTTTTATTCAGATTTCATAGCGATCAGACTGAGGAACGAGGATCACCTGTCACCTGATCGCCGATCGGCTGCCTGGTGCCGCAATGCCAATCCGCGAAGGCCGAAGGGCGATGGCGGCGTCCGCGGCAGGCTCGCGGCGAGAACGCTCCGCGGCCGCGAGCGGAGTCTGGCGATCCGACTCCCTCCCGAGTCCCGGCCTCCCTGGACAGTTCGACGTCTGCCGATCCAACTCCACCTGCGAGCTGGGCCGGCCCAACGAGCACGAGCGCGCATTTACGCCGCACTCACGTACTACGAACGTCGAACGGACGCCGCACTCACGTACTATGAACAGGACGGCTTGTTTTTTTCATTTTTTCTATTATGTTTGACGACGGGCAGGCCATAGGGTGGTCGGTGGACCACCCAGACCACCCACTGGATCCGCCACTGGCTAAGAAGCTTGTTGCGGAGTTCGGCAAATTGAAGGTTGTTTCGACTCACTTGGATGAATTCAAAGTCAGCTTCTCATGCTTGAACTCAAATTTCCAGCTTGCTACATATTTGTGCCAAATGGTGCTAGAAAATCTATTCTTTTGATTTTATTGAGTTAAGTTGATGTGCCAACATTGCTAATTACCCCAACTTGACCTTGGTTTGATTGACACACCTCTTGTAGCAGAAGCTTTTGCCTTTATTTGATTTCTCTGATTACATCTTTATCCATCGCCTTGTTCATTTTGCCTGACTCAGACAATGTTTTTTTTTTTAAAAACGCCTTTAAAAACTTAGAATTAGAATGTACGCTTATTGTTGATTACATCTAAGCTTCTATTAGATTGGTTGCCATGCTTGGATGCCTGGTATGGTTCCAATTATTTGTTACCATTTACAGGAATCATATTAGTGCCAAATTACATGCTTGTGTCATGCCATTGCTGTACTGTTAAGTTTCATTATATATTAATTTCTGAACATATGATCATTCTACAATTGAACATTGTGCATTTGGTTGTAAGTTGTAACCTAAAGCTTGTTTTCTGTAGAAAATAAAATGTAGGATAGGTAGATATGGATGAAAAATTCTACTTTCTGGACCATACATAGTTTATGTGCTATAGACAAAATGAAACATCATAAATCAATATAACATTAGTACCGGAAAATGAATGTTCCTAAATGCTATGTGTATCAATGTTACTATGTTGGAATTTATGGTGTAGTATCTTGTTGACCTAGTTTTTGTAGTACAGGGAAAAAAAATTGTGGGTTCATAATTCGTGACCTTTGGCTATAGTTATATGTATTGGCTAAGTCGAATGTGTGGCTTATGTTTCACTGCCTCCACATTTTGTTCCCCTCCTCTTTCTCCATATTGATTATTAATTTATTATACTATTATTTGAAACTCCATTACAAGATCTGTTGGAAGCTTTGTCAAGTTGAAGCCCTGGATGGGAATGATAAAATTGTTCTTGAAAATATTGACAAGAAATGGAAGAAAGAAGATGTGAGTACAATTGCACCCCTAGCTATCATTTTCTTTATTCTGTATTTCTGTGAATAACCTGCTTGGATATTTGGCTCCATTGTTGTCTGTTTGCTGATATCACCTAATTCTCTTCAAAGCAGATCATGAAGCTACGACACAAAAGTGGAGTTGAGAACATTGATACAGTAACACTAATGGCTGACTGACAACCCAGGCTATAACTGTGGGTATGCATTTCTTGAACTTGAGACTGAAAGAGATGCATGGATGGCATACATAAAGCTTTCAAGGAAAGGTGTCTAAATATAACAGTTGCATGGGCTAAACCAATGAGTGATCCAGATGAAGAAATGCAGCAGGTCTCATTCTCTCCCTTTCTCACACACTGTTTTTGCCACTAATCATTATTCATCCCTCAAAATCATGTCAGGCAATGGAAAGGCAATTTTGTTTCCGCGCTGCTGCGAGCGTTTACTGCCCGATCGTGGGCTTAATCGGCATTTTGAAGGGCCGTATTTATTCCGGAGGCATTGGATTACATAGTACTTGAAACAAACAATAACTTACGTGATCTGTTGGCGGTGTGAACAGATGACGCTACAAAATGAGTGAACCAAACAGCACATAATAGTTCATATATACGTTCAACTTATTGTACAAGCACATATTAGCAGGTGCATCCAAACAGCCTCCTGCTAAAATCAATTGGCTAAAAAATAAAGCAGGGAAAACCTATTATTCTACAAAGAAATGCTATCATGATAAAAAAAAATAGTTGTAATTCAAACACAAAATAACTCAATTTGTCTAGAAACTAAAAAAAATAGCACAGTTGTATAAATCATTTTCAACACATCAAGGTCCCGCTGGCCAAAAAAGTCTAGCAACATGAATTTGGTGTCAAGGTCGGGCCCGCAGTCTTGACTTTTGTAGTCCACCGGTTGTCTTGTCTGAAAAATCTCCGCGGCCCAACCACAGCCACCCTATCTCTCTGGCTTGTTCTTTCCGAGCGGCGTCATGGAGGGCGCGGCAGCGGCACAGGCCTTTCTGAGCAACGCCGGGTGCCTGCTGAGCAAGGAGTACCAGCACCTCCGCGGCGTCGGCGGCCAGGTAGCCGAGCTGCGGGACGAGCTGGACGCCATGAACGCGCTCCTCGTCATGCAGTCCGAGGCGGACGACGGCGCCGTGGACCGCTTCCTGCAGGTGTGCATGAAGCAGCTGCGCGAGGTCGCCTGCGACGCCAAGGACTGCATCAACCTCTACACCCTGCGCATCGAGTCCCGCCGCACCGACGGCGCGCGCGCCTGGCTGGGACGCCTTCTCGGGACGCTCCGGTCTCGCCGCCGCCTCGCATGCGAGATCGGCGCCATCCGCGCCCGCGCCGTCGCCATCAGCGAGCGCCAGGCGCGGTTCGGCATCAACCGGGACGCGCTGCGGCGGTTCGCTCCTCTGCTACCTGGGGTCCCTGTATCGGCGGCGTCATCGTCCACTCCTGCTAGCAACGCCGACGACCACCGCCGGCTGGTCGGCATTTAGGATCAGGCTAACGCCCTGGCTGCACGGCTGAACGCGCCGGTTGGCGAAGAGGCCGCCGCGCGCATGGACGTCTTCTCCATCGTGGGGTTCGGAGGCCTCGGCAAGACGACGCTGGCCGTGGAGGTGTGCCGGCGGCTGGAAGCGGAGTTCCCGTGGCAGGCGATGGTGTCCGTGTCCCAGGCGTTCGAGCCGAGCGGAGACCTCAAGGCGTTGCTCAACGACCTTCTTCGGCAGGTCGTGAAGCCCAAAACGGCTGACGACAGGGGCATCAAGGAAGAGGCTGCACTGGGTGCAATTGACGGCCTGGACGACAACGGGCTTGCCAAAAGACTCGAGGAGGTTCTCACCAACAAGAGGCACATAGTACACATAGAGCTTATTCTTCTTCTGCTCAATGGTATGGTACCAAAATATTGGGCCTACATGATAGCCTCATCCTTCTCAGCTGTAGGCATGTGGGCCCCACATGTTAGTGTCACACTGTCGTGTAATCAACGTGCCACACATGCAGATTAACTCAAATTGTGGTAATTTGGATCTCATGTGACATGGTCAATAAGTTTAAAGATCTACACTACCGGAAACAGGCCCGTTGCCAAGAGCCTTTGCCGAGAGTCAAATGTCGGGCTCTCGGCAAAGAAAGGTTTGCCGAGAGTCGGCCCTCGGCAACGGTAGGCCGTCGGCAAAACCATATTTGCCGAGGGCCAGGTCGTCGGCAAAGAATTCCTCTCGCCAACCGGGCCCTTTGCGGAGGGTCCGGCCGTCGGCAAAGAAAGGCCGTTGGCAAAAGTTTATCTTTGCCGAGGTCCGGCTCTCGGCAAAACATGGCCGTCGGTAAACCTGTGACGGCAGGCAAACGGCCTTCACCTGCCGTCTGTTTTGCCAAGGGTCAGAATTTGGCCCTCGGCAAAGAATTACTTTGCCGAGTGTCGTTTCTGTGCCCTCGGCAAAATATATATTTTTTTTTTGCTTTTTTTGCTTCCAAATTTTTTCTGGGTTTTAGGCATCGGATGTCGCAACTTGCTCGAAACCCACTCAATTTTTTATCACAGCCTATACATGCGATGAAATGACACCTCGACAAGTTTCATGAATTTCGGACTTCGTTTCCATTTTATATAATTTAAAAATACTTTACACGCAAGTTCCTCGCCGTGTTCCGTGAAAACGATGCGCCAAATTTGGCATCTGTCACTGGATACGGTCTCACACCACATGCAATACCATGAATATGATTTTTTGAATCACTCAATTCCAATATTCGATGCAGCTGCAGTTCAAATTTGAATTACCGGGAAGAATTCAAGTAAATGAAATAAACTTATTAAATATAGCTAATAAAATAAAAAAGCTCCAAATTTTAAATATGTCTTTTAAATATTATTGTTAGCCACCGAAAAAATTTGGGAAAAAAAACAATTTTTTTTGTATTTGCCAAGAGCCTCAAAGGGCTCTCGACAAAGTTTTTTTTAAAAAAACTTTGCTTGAGAGTCCGGATCTGGGCCCTCGGCAAAGGCCCGATCCACATAGACCAGGCGGAAAACCCTAACGGCCCACTCAGCCCCTTCCTCTTCGCCCGCCCAGATCGCCTTCCTCTCTTGCCGCATCCGCCGCCATCGCATGGTCCCCAGCCCCGCCAGCCCTCTCCCCACTTACGCCCGTCCCTTGCCGCGGAGCAGCAGCCCGGCCACAGAAGCCCGTCGTCGTCGGGGCAGCGTCAAATCCCGCCTCGCCCGGTGGTGAGGGCACCGCCGCCGCCCGGCCACGCCCGGCGGTGGCCCACTCCCAGCGTCCCGGCCCCGGCCCGCCCAGCCCCATGCCTACCACCGTCCGTGCAGAGAGCATTTGGGAGGAAGGGAGAAGAGGAGAAGGAGAAGGAGAAGAAGAAGAGGAGCAGGGAGAAGGGAGGAGGAGGGAGGAGAGGAGGAGAAGGAGAGGGAGAGGAGAAGGAGAGCAGGGGAGAAGAGGAAGGGAGAGAGGAGGGAGAAGGAGGGGAGAAGGAGGGCGATGACCATCACGCCCGGCGGTCGTCGCCCGTTTTCCACGTCAAAGATTTGAGGGTGATCCGAATCGCGTCGTTGACTTTCCCACCGTCTAAGGCCCCCCTCCGCCTAGGTGATCCCGACTCCGCGTGGCCGCCGTGCCTTTTGTGGATGTGTTGGCCACCGTGCCATATGTGTAAGGCCCCTCCGTGCTGTTCTTTGGCCTTCGTGCCGTCTTTTTCCTTGCAGGTTTTGGAAGCCTCCCCGTACAGGGGAGGTTCTGCCGAAATTTTGAACTTATAAATTGTGTTTCTTGTTTTGCAGAGAAGAGCCCGACGGAGGGGACTCGGAGTACCCCGAGCGTCTTCCTTCGGGTCTGCCTGCACCGCGTCACCTCTCCACTCCACCGCCACCCTAGGTATAAGCCCTTTGTCCGTAACCCTAGCTAGATCGCGTAAACCAGTTAGGCATCTCCCGTCCGAAAGAGATACGGTCGTAGGTATGCGGATCTCTGCATATCTGCGACCGTATCTATTTCGGATTGTCCACATTATTTGGACAGCCCGTGGATGCGTAGATGGTTTAGTTTGTATGGTCCGGTCCGGTCCGAGATGGGGTTTTGGCAGCACCTCCCTGTTGTTCTCCGGATACACACTCTCCCTTCTCGGACGTGTATCGGGAGAACAGCGGGGATGTGCTGCCGAAATTCTATCTCGGATTAGAGCGGAGCATGGAAACTAACCTCATCTACGCATCCGTGGGAGGGATTAGGACCTATCCCTACCTATTAGATAGTAGGCAAGCTGTGCATATGCTATTGATGGTTATATTACTATGTTATATATATGGTAGATGATGGATAACCGTGATTGGATGTACATGGGCTGCCGTAGGTCGAAATCAGTCACTCGTGAATGGATATAGAAGACCGAGGATTTCTTGGACAAAGCATTTGGTGTGGGTGCTCAAGCGGCTGACAGAGGTGTGTGTCCCTGCAATGAATGTGCAAACAGAATAGGAAAACCAGGAAGGTCATTGAGGAACATCTTTGCAAGTTTGGGTTTACGCCAGGACTATACCCGGTGGGTGTGCCATGGTGAAGGCCATCGTATTAGAGATGAGGCATTGAGGCCACACTTGGAGGAGTTTGATAGTGATGGCGGGGTACCGGACATGATGGATGACTTCCACCAAGCACACTTGATGAGCGATGTACGGACAAAACCGAGGAGCGGGGAGCGGAGGAAAACCGCAAGGGCATTCTATCACATGATGGAGTCAGCTAAGAGGCCCTTCATGACAAGACAAATGTTTCTCGACTCGATGCCATTGGACGCTTAATGGGGTTAAAGTCCATGCATAACATGAGTCAAGACTGCTTCGATAGTATGCTGGCAGTTTTTGGGACCCTCCTTCTAGTAGATCACGCGCTGCCGAAGAACATGTACGAGTTAGTGAAGCTCCTCAAAGCTCTTAAGATGCCGTATGAGCAGATACACACTTGTGAGAATGGGTACGTCCTCTTTAGGAAAGAACACGCGGAAGCAAAGTACTGTCCAAAGTGTAAGTCCTCTAGGTATGTGGAGGTAGAATCTAGTGATGGGCAAAAGAAGCAGCTTGGAATCCCCATGAAAGTCCTACGGTACCTTCTGTTCATACCGAGACTCCAACGGCTATTCATGAGCGAGGAGTCCACAAAATAGATGACATGGCACAAAAATGGCATCCGATACAATCCTGATAAGATGGTACATCCATCAGATGGTGAAGCATGGCAAACATTTGATGGCATTTATGCTGACAAAGCTCTAGAGGCTCGTAATGTGCGTGTTGCGCTTGCAACAGATGGGTTCAATCCTTTTGGAATGATGGCGGCCCCATACACTTGTTGGCCAATCTTTGTTATCCCCCTCAATCTCCCCCCCGGCATCCTTCTTCAACGTCAGAACATATTCTTATCGCTGATAATTCCTGGTCACCCAGGGAAACATATGGGTGTGTTCATGGAGCCTTTGATTGATGAGTTGATCAGTGCATGGGATCACGGGGTACTGACATACAACCGTGCTACAAAGAGGAACTTCACAATGCACGTTTGGTACCACTACTCGATGCATGACTTTCTGGCGTATGGTCTATTCAGCGCCTGGTGTGTCCACGGGAAGTTCCCATGCCCGGTATGCAAGGCAGCTCTGCAGTTCATTAGGTTGAAGAGTGGTGGCAAGTTTTCCTCGTTCGAAAAACATCGACAATTCCTCCCTCTTGACCATGCATTCAGACAAGACATTAAGAACTTTACGAAAGGTGTCATAGTGACAGACCCTGAACCGCAGAAGATGACTGACGCCGAGGTTCTTGCTCAGATAGATGGTCTTGTCGCCAAGGAAGACGAAGTTGGTTTCATGGGGTATGGTGTTCAACATATGTGGACTCATAAGTCGGGCTTGGAGAGGCTTCCCTATTTTAAGCACCTGGCCCTGCCACATAACATTGATGTAATGCACACTGAGAAGAATGTCGCCAAAGCTCTCTGGGCAACACTCTTGGACATTGACAAGTCAAAGGACAACCCTAAGGCTAGAGCGGACCTAGCAAGGCTATACAATAGACCACACCTAGAGATGCGACCACCAAGAGCCGGCAAGACATGGAGAAGGCCTATGGGCGATTACGTCTTGGAAAAGAAGCACAGGACGGTTGTAGTCCAATGGATCAAGGACTTAATGTTTCCTGATGGGTTTGCAGCGAATCTTAAGAGGGGGGCCAACCCATCTACTGGCCGAGTCTTAGGGATGAAGAGTCACGACTTCCACATATGGATTGAGCGCCTTCTTCCATCGATGGTTTGAGGCTTCGTCCCTGAGCATGTCTGGGTCATGCTGGCAGAGTTGAGCTATTTCTTCCGCTAGCTTTGTGCCAAGGAGTTATCTCGAAACATGGTGGCTGACTTGGAAAAAAGAGCCCCTGAGTTGATCTGTAAGTTGGAGAAGATATTTCCACCCAGCTTCTTCCTGTCGA